TAGACGCCGTGTATTGCGTGTTATATAATATGTAATATTATCATTGATTATAGGTGTTCCAAAATGATTCATCCTATTTCAAAAATCATATTTATTGTAAAATTTTATTAATCAGATTAGAATAAATTTTAAATTTTAAAGGAGTATTTTAAGTTTTAGGTACAATGCTTATAAATGTTCAATGTGCCCCCTTACTTACACGACACACATCTAAGCAATATTCAAATTCCTCATAAACCTGTTGAATCATATCGACTGTAACCAAGTTGATGGCGTCTGTTATTCGACTTTTCAATTCGTCATGATCTTTTAGAAGGGGAGGTATATAATTAATGCTTTTTATGTAACCCCAGAGAAAAAAATCACAGATTGTAAGGTCCGGTAAATGGACATGAACAAAATGTAGCGTCATTAGCGCACAAAACGCCTTTCGTTGCTCGGTTGACATTTCGATAACAACTAATTAAGTTACGCCACATGACTAAACTGCACATTATCGCAACTTATCGGCAATCGATAAAAACTAAATAAACCAACCTTTCAGATGGTTGGTGCGTCGTTTACCTCAAATTACAGAAACAATATTTTTAGACTACTAAAATCGGATGAATCATTTTGAAACACACTGTATATTAGTAATATATAGGGCTAGGATTTATATGCATTTGCATGTTTTTTCCTTAAGTTCAAATTAATTGGTTGTCAATATCTCCACAATTTGGCTTATTGTCGATTAAATAGATTCATTTTTTTTTTGCATATTATTGTTTTTTTTTTTTTTTTTTTGAACATAAAGCATATAATTACATGTTTATAGATTTTTAAGTATCTTATTAATTTTGAAACTTAAATTTTCAAGTTTTTATAATATTGTTTATTTTAAAAGGTGTTTATTTAATATACGTTTATTTTTCGAATCGTCATAAATATATCGAGATGGGCTGATAAGCAAAAACAGAAAAAAAATGATAAATCAAATTATATCATAAATATTTATGCGTATAGCTGATAAAAATTAAAATATTTATTTTTCATCATTTATTAGAATATATACAATCTGTAATAATATTTACAATAAGCATATAAGTGGTTAGATATTTTATAAGACATGAGGGTATGAAGAGAGAAGCTACCCATCAGTACACTTAGACGCGAATAGGGATTTGTTATACTATATATCTACATATAAAGGTTATTTTTTTATTGATTTTTTATAGAGATAAGTCACGACAACAGCACCGCTTTAGCATTCTCGTTGGACTTCCAGGAATATTTATTGAGTTAAGTGAAAGGATAAGTGGATTCGGATGATTAGTGAAGCGAAAGCGGAAACGCTTGTAAAAGGACGTGGCCGTTTCGGCGACAGTCTGAATATTAAGATCAGAATGTAGTGTATGATTAATTACGTAGAAGGGAGCATTTGTTATTATTCGGAGTGATATGGATTGAAAATTCTGAATTTTGCTGATGTTTAATTTTTTTTCCGCTCCCCATAATTGAATACCGTAGGTCCAAATTGGCTTGAGAAGGGTTTTGTAAATTAATAATTTATTTTTTAAATTAATCTTGGACTGTTTACCTAAAAGAGGATATAAAGACTTTCTTCTTAAGTTTAAAATAAAATTAAAATATAATTAATAAAAGGTAATACAATTTGAAAAAAAAAATTAAAGTTTAAAATCGTACTTTACATTTTTTGTTGCACATTTCAATAATTTTTCATTGTCAGGATTTTTCAAAAATTGCAAAAAATTCTTGACAGTTAATATTGTAATTTAATTTGACACATAATTCTGATTTTACCATTTCCACTGATAGACGATTTATTTTTTCAGACCACACATTTTCCATCAAAGAAAATACTTATCATGCAAAAGCGTTACTTATAGATATTGAAAATATTTTACCAACAATTTTTGGAAGTTCGATGAAATCATATTTTTTGAAAACTCTACCCACATTAAATCTGAAGATACGATAATTTTTGATCGAGAGATCAGCCCACGTTCTCTGCATATTTTTCAATTTGTCGTAAAGTCGGTCTTCTTCAATATTATTTAAACCTAATAATAATAGTAAATAATAAATAATAGTAAATAAAAAATAAATAATAATAAATAATAGGTTCACAAATTTTATTACATCGTCATATTAAAATATTTTATTTTTTAAATTAATGTTCAAAATATCTTAAAAATAGAATCGTTAAAATCTTAATATTTTTTTAAATAATCAATATTTTTTTTTGAACATTTCATTAGCTTCTTTTTTGAACATTGCTTACTCATTTGATTAAAGTAATGAAATGCTTTTCATGACTTTTGCGCCATAAAATGAATCATTCTTGCAACTCTCAATTTTATCTTTTAGACCTAGCATTACATTGTGTGTAAGTCAACAGAAGTTAATGGGCTCTGCACAAGAACGAGATAACTCCATTTTTCAAAACTTTTCAGGAAATGATAAAGTTATTTTAAAAATATGTATTTCAATAAAGATAAAATTAATTTGAAAAACAATTTAGATACATTAAATCACGATAAAAAAACCCATCGTGTAAAGCCGCGTACACACGAGCGCGCCGAACCTGTAATGCAATGTTGCACGCGTGGCACGCTCGTTCGTGTGGACAGTATTTGAAACACGCGCGCGATGTTACTGCAACCGCGCGGAGAGAACCAATTTTTGTCGGTTTTTCCGACGAACACAAAGGAAATGTTCGGCGCAGTGTGGACGTGTTTATATTATTTTTATCATCGTTGAAACGCGCATACCGCTTTGACAACGTGATTTGACACTAGTACACTGTCGTAACCTATTTATTACTAGTACTCGTATTTGTGTACTTGTAAGTTTTGTATATTTGCATTTTTGAATAAATAATGGAGTGGTCACAAGAAAAGTGTCTAAGGTTGATTGAGGTATATAAGGCATTTCCAGTACTATGGAACCCTAGTGACCTGAACTACTATAAAAAAAATATGAAATCGGATGCATGGGCCGACATTTCATCGGAGATTGGTGTCCCTGAAAATGAATGTCGTGACAAGATCGTAAGTTTACTATCGTTATATAGAAGGGAAAAATCTAAATCAAAGAAGACAACAGGCACAGGAAAAGGTACAGCATTTCCCAAAACAACTATTGCTGCACTACAAACTAGTAAAGCTTCTTCAGCCTCCATTTTTTATATTCAAATAATTAAATTTAAAATTACTTAATTAAAACGATTATGGTCAGTCACGGTACGACTCCGAACGTCTGAACTATGCATGAAAATGTTCGCGGCAAACTGCGCTCGTTGACAGTGGATCGTTTGCGCAGCGCGTGTTTGTTGTGAATTAAAAATTACTTCTCGCCGCGCGTGCAACATTACATTACAGGTTCGGCGCGCTCGTATATACGCGGCTTAAGGAACTGTTACAAATTTTCCAGAAACATAAACTTTTAAGTTTCATGGTAACTTTAGGTACCTACAATGTAATGTTCTAAAACTATTACAGGAAGGTCTTTGCGAAACATATATTTTTAAAAATTGTTTATATTTCGAAAAACCGAACGGTTAAATGGAACCCTCTATGTGAAATAAATACGTTGTAAAATATGTTTCGTAGATTACATCACGGTAACTATATATTTCATGTTTTTATGTAAACAATAATTCTATTTTTATAATGTTATCGTATGGGTCTGTTTATTGATTGATTATTGAACGAAGGTTAGATAAATTATTGTACATTAATACGTTATCACTCGGTGTCTCCGCGTAAATTCTTATACAATTTGAGGTTATTTGTTCTGTTGTTATTTAATAAATTTTGTGACTGCAAAATCATTGTGCTTATAATAAGTGTTAATTCCGTTTTCTATATTTAATATTTATATATATTTTAAGAAAGGAATATTCACTTTGAAAAAAAAAAATTAGGTTAACGTTAGGTTATGTATTGCCATTGATTATAAATACTAGTATTTATAAAATTATCTAATAAATTATATTGTTAAACAACTGATTTATAATTTTTCATAAAATTAATTTTTTTATTGCTTAATTTTGAATTTATTTATATATATATTTTTTTTTTGTTAAGGGAAAAGGACGGAAAAATTATTTTGCACCAGGGCGCGTATATATTAAATGCGCCACTGAGTGAAGTAGTGTAAAATCAGTAAAAATGTGGGAAAATGTCAAAAAATTACTTAAAATATAATAAACACCAAGAAATGCAAAATAAAAATTAGTTATTCGGATTCACATGCTAATGAAACACATTTGTGGCATTATACATTATTTTATTATATATTATATTATTATATTTAATATACAACAATTATTTATTAAATAAATATTACAACTGCACGATATAATTTCATGTTCTCTTGCCCTGTACCTTCACAGCAAGTCATTTTTGACTTATGTACTTTTTTTCTTCTAGAGTAGGGGTGGGCAACTGGCAGCCCGCGGGCCGCATCCGGTCCGTGAGCCTTTTTTATCTGGCCCGTAATATATTTTAAAATTACATCATACAATTTTAAAGGTTATCGTCTATGCTCTAACTTATCAATATAATAATTGTTATCTAGTAAACATCGTTAAATGTCTAAATGTCATATGAATGTATAAGTACGGCTTTCAACCATAGCTGTTAACAAACTATTTAACTATATCAGTTTCTTCGTACCATTCGGATTATGCTATCGTGTGGGTTGAATTTATTATTTCCATATATATAAATGCTAATAAATATTCATATTTTGAATGACCTTTTTTTTTCTAGAACTGGCCCGCTAGATTTAAATTTTCTAAAAATTGGCCCTCTAGTAACTTCGAGTTGCCCATCCCTGTTCTAGGGGATCGAGACCCAGGAACAATCTCCCCCACAAAATCCACCAATGGTTGTGCTTGTACTTGTATTCTTACTCTATGTTATACAGCGAACAGTGTAACACGGTAAATATATATTTTTTTTTAGTATTCTGTTGTTGGCAGTGGTGATAGTAACAAATGATAACAAATGCATATGAAAATGTGTTTTTCTTTTAAAATAACTAAATAATAATATAAACTCTATTACGTGTTTCGAACAATCGTTTTATTAATGCATTTAAGAATGACATCATTAAAACAAGACGATGTTAAGAATCTCTTTAATAGAGAATTCAATTTTGTCAACAACTTGTTAAACCAAGTGAAACTGCCTGTGCGTGTCGAAGATTCAGGTACATTAGTACAAACATGTGCATTTTCAATCAAATTAATTTGAATAATTATAAAAAAATTTCTGGAATTCACATTTTTTTGATTACAACTTTTCTTAATACTAATCACAAATTTGTATTTCCCAATTATACTTTAGGCATCTGCTTATTATTTTCTAAAGATTATTATGTTAACTATGTACAGTATTTATTAATAAATTTTTATAATTTATTTTTATAGAATCAACCATAAAATGTATATAATATATAAATATTATTTAGTGTATATGAAGTAATATTTCTTTGGTGCGCGGTCAAAAGGTGTTAAGTCAAAAACTATGATTTTTCAGTAGGCTTTATTAAAAGTTTAAAATTTTTTCCTAAATCATATTTATTACATCAACTTTGTTATACCCATTCCAAACTAATATATACTTTAAATTGTAAGTTTTGATTTCAAAGTTATGAAAAAATTAGATTTGTTATACTTTTTGTGTACTTCACTCAAACTCACTTTTTAGAAAATTAACTTATATCATTTTGATCAAACTTAACTCCTTATGATCATATTTAAAAAAAAAATGTAAGTCTTAAGTTACTCGTTATTTCAATGTAAAGAAAAAATTAAATAATAAGAAATATAAAGTTTGTTCTTAAATAGCAATTTTAATGAAGATGGGTATGTAAAAGTAGTAAGACATTAATTTTAGATTCCTTTTTAGAGATTCAGAAGAGGAAAGAATAATATGTTTCATTTAGATGAAAAAAAAAAAACACAATTTATTATCATTATTTTTATTATTAGTTGAATAACATCAAATATTTTTATTATAATTTGTATTACACTGAATTATTTACATTTTAACAGTATTATTACTGTATTATAAAAAATAATAACAACTTCTTACAAAAAATATTTGAAAACAAAAAATAATAACTGTATATTAATTAAACTTAACAATACTAAATAACTGTATTAAAAAAATAGTATTAACTTCTTAGTAAACATATTTAACTACATAAAATAACAGCTGTATTATTTAAACAGTATTATTAATTATTACTGTATTATAAAAAATAGTAATAACTTTTTAATAAAAACCATTTAATTTTAGCAACATAATATTGTTGCGTGCAGTCTGTTCAACCGTAAAGGTGATAATGTCTAGGAATATTCCAAATAAAATACTCAAACTAATTTAAACTGTTTATTGAAATATTTCTAAGTAATTTCTAATTATTTAATTAAATTAACAAGTGCTTGTTTACATGTATGGTTTATAATCTATTATTATGGCCATGGGATACAAAAAATTTCAGTCTATAAAAATATAGTCAAATGTATGATAAAGATTCTATAATAAGCAAGGGCGGATCCAGAGTCAGGGAACTGTGGGTCAAGCCATTTCAAGCGGCCATTTATTAGGGATGAAACTGAATTAGAAATGAATACCTTGTAAAAAAATAAAACACAATATGCTCATAAAAGTGTATGAGTATATTTATATTACATTTTAGAATTAGTGATACCACCAATAATGACTTTTTAACAATTAATAAATATAATCTAATTTTATCAGTGCAACAAACATACGGAATAAAACATGAATTATGAATTGAAAAATTTTAAATTTTGAATATACATGGCATTCATTTTTCAAGTAACTCTGATGGGCCAACTGTCCGAGAGCCCAAATCAAGGTCTAAAAAGACAAAAAAAATTCCAAGAAGCCAATTTTGTCAACAAATATTAATTGTGGGTCAGCTGACCCCCTGAACCCTCCCCTAGATCGGCCCCTGATAATAAGATTATAGTTTAACATGGTGTAAAAGTAATATTATCTTTTTTGATCAAGGAACTTATAATATCTATTTTAAATGACTTAACCCCAATTGATTTTAAAATGAAATTGATTATGTTTAAATTTAAATTATTTAAGTTGACTTAATCCAATAATATCTTAAAATTGTATTTTATTTATAAATCAGAGCGATATAAATTGATATAACTCTTTAAGATCTTAATAAAAATTAAAATTTGAAACATATCTTTAATTCATAGCAACCAGATTAAATGGTGACATAACTGGTTTGTATCAAAAATCTTTTCAAATATAAAGAAGTTAAAACATGATTTTTAACAAAAAATGACTTAACTCCTTTTGACCGCACATCAAAGATTTATTGGTTCATCAATATTTTTATCTTATGTTATAGATAATCTTTAAATGTTCAAAGAAATATTTTTCTCAAACTTTAAATTGAAATAAAAGTTATTTAATAATATGAAAGCTAAAATGGCAATTACTGTTATTAATTTGGTTTTTATGACTAACAAGGGTAAAATATATTTATATATTTATTATAAATATTAAATTTAAAAAAATACATTTTTTAAGTATAATTTATTTCATATGATTGGGTGTTCAAAATTCATATTATTTTATAAAAATATGGTATTTTGACTTATATTTTTATAGTTTTCTTATTTTTATTTATTATAATTTTATTAAAAATATGTGAAATATCACATTATATTTTTTATTTACTTCTATTAATTTAATTTTCATTGGTTTTCAGAATCAGAAGACAGTGATAACAATGAAAAAGTTAGAAGTAAGTTTATTCAATACTCTCTTCTTTTATTTTTAGTAACTTTAAACAATTACATTTTTCAGAACCAATATTAGCTAGTAATGAGATTCATAGAGCTCAAAGTATAGATGAATTGCATTCAAGACTGGCTGCAATAAGAGGTAAAAATATAATTTTACATAATTTTAATTTATTATTAAAATACAAATATTCTGAAGTTATTTTAAATAATTTTTATACTATAAGTGATTTACTTCAGCTGTAACTACTTTTTTCTAGCTAAATTACTTTTTTTAAATTTTGTTAATAGGATCCTACACTTCACATTTCCTACACTTGTATGTGATGTTCTTGTCTCACAAATGTAAAGCATACAAATTTCTGTCTGATAAAACTAATTGTATGTATGTATTATTAGTTTTAATATTAAAATAAAATGACCTATTATCAAATTAAAAGAGATTACATTATCTATTTCTTCTTGTAAGGGATTAAGATATTTGAATTGTGATTTATAACTTTTTAAAAATTAAAATATTGTAAAAAAAACTTACAATAATACACAAATGTTTACATTAGTTTGATGATAGTTCAGCTTACTTTAAAATTAAAGCTAACAACATAAAATTAGTTCTACTGAACGCAAATTTGCTATTTTACAACTTTGTGAGAATGAAACAACCATGTGAATACACCTCTATCTTAATATGTTATCATAATCTTTAAATAAATAAAATACTTTTGTATCTTTTTTTGTATGTTTTATTAAAATTGCCTCAGTGTTTTTTTTCTTTTTTTAGCCAAACATAGCCTATCTCTTAAATAATGATTTTAGTTAATGACTATGTTTAATCATCATAACCTAATTACTGCTAGACCTTAGTCACATTTAGTGTCTTACAAATAACAAATCAATCATTATAATCTCATTTAAACTATTAATTATGAACTTTATTTAAATAGAACTTGATGAATTGTCAGCATCCTATCCTGGTGTCCATCAGTTGACAAATTCAATTGAAAATGATTAAACCTAAAGACATTATATTATTAATTAAGATATTCTATCTAACAATTTAAATTTTGATTCCTAGTGCAGTAGCTATTTTATAAAAATTTTCCCATTTTTTTTTTTGTAGACATTTTAAGGTATTACTAGTAATAGTTTTTCAGTTATATTTAAAAACAAATATAAGTTCTTTAATATTTTAATAGTACCATGTATTATACAATTTTTTTTTTTGTTTTATAATTATTTATTTTTTCAGAAAAGAAATATTCATACAAAGGAAAAATAATTAAAAACAAACTTCAAAATAAAATCAAGAGAAAAAAAAAGATTAATGAGAAAAATGAGAAAACTAAAGGTGAAAAAAAACCTAATGAAAATATTGAAATGTCAAATGAAAAACCATCAAAAGTAAATGGAACAAACAGTAAAGCTAAATTAGTTTTCAATCGAATAAATTTCTTAGGAGAAGAAACAACAAAGACACTACCTCCAACCAGCTCAAATGCAAAAATAGCATTAGATGAAATCAAATCAAAACAACAATTGTATGAAGAAATGGAAAGATCTGGTGAAGTAACTAAAGCTAAAGAATTGAAAGAACATGATGCATGGAAAAATATTTTAGCTAAAGCTGAAGGGATAAAAGTTAAAGATAATGTAGAATTATTGAAGAAAACCATTGCCAGAAAAGAAAGACAAAAAAAAGTCAGCAAAAATAAATGGGATGAAAGAAAAGATATTTTAGAAAAGACAAAGAAAGAAAAACAAGATAAACGTACAAATAATTTATTGAAAAAGAAACAAGAAAAAAAAGAAAAAACAAAAAAGAAAGCCATAAAAAAAGGACGTTTTGTACCAGGAGTTAATTAAAAGAAAATTGTATTTAAAAATGGTAATATTATATCGAAATTATAAACTTTTTGTATTATTTCATTCTTTTTTTTTTTACAAATATATTTTATATATTAGACAACAAATAAGTGTAAAAAATTATCTGGGTAACTCAAGTGTTCACTCATCCATTGAATTGGTGTTTCTTTGGGAATACATATTCCATGTGTAAAGATTTTAGCTGAAAATAATTAAACATTATTTTTTATAAAAAGTATAATTTATGATTGATAAACTTACGACTATCCAATAATGGGTACTTCAATTTTATTAATTCCCCTAAAGTTATTTGGTTTCCATCATCTGAAACCGATTTAACTAATGTCTGGGTCATAACTGAAGAACCTGATTGATAAAAATGCACAGGTATATATTTAAAATAATTGCCTTCAGTTGGTTCCATTAACTTTTTATTTTCTGACCAAAATTGATCAAATTTATCTAAAATATAATATTATTATAATACTATATTGAAATAACAAAGCAAATTTACTTACCATTAAGTAGTCCATTCCACAATTGATTGTGTTGATGTCGTTGCATAGTTGAAAATACTTGACTTCTATGTTTTAACATATCAGCTTCTTTCATTGATGACATAAAATTTGATTCTACAGCTTCTCTACAGAAATGTATAAAGTAATTGTCTTTCATTTTTAAATCATTTTTTTTTTTTTTTACCGGCATGAACATCTGATAAGTTGATCTTCAGGAAAATTATCAAAATGAATAGTTATTTGCCAAGGTAAATCAACTTGATTATCATTAGTTGTAAAGAGATCATAAAGAACACCGATAGGATTATTCCTGCACAGTTGAAAATTATATTCTATAAGTACAAATATGTTATTAATGTAATTTATTAATCAATTATATGAATAAATGATCTAATTACATAAATTTACTGTTATTTGTATAGTATAAATATGTAATATTGATTATAAATATTATTTAGTATTATGTTGTAGTATCATAATAGTAATATAAATCAATGGTAATCACTTGATTTTGTTTATAATTTATAAATCAATATAAATTATATATATTTACTTTATATTATTTTACTTCAATATAGAATGTGGAGTCACACTGAAAAGAGAGGCTTCAAAGACAAGATAGACTCTTTAATAGAGATGGACTGATTATTTGGTAGTTATTCGGAATCTGCCCTATTCAACCAATATTTTGAGATCAATTTATATTCTGCTATTCTATTAATATTCAGTCAAGAATACAATTTTACTAATTGGTACTTGATATTCTACTAATATATGGTATTTTATTTTCGGCCAATTTAACTCATCATTAATGGTTTCGGTCTTTTCAATAGTCAATTTTTAAATATTCTGAATAATATATATATATATATGTTACGGGTAGAGTAAGAAAATCGGGTAATGTACACATCATCCGAGTAATGTGAACACTACCCATACTTATTGGATAAAGTAAACATATTTGTAAAACATTTATTTTGTAGGTACATTAACCGGGTAATTTGAACATTATCTACCTTTGAGTGGACAAGTGTTTTCATAAAATACGACAAAATATGAATTGTAGATAATATAACGATAAAATATAAGTTGTACCGAAATGAGGATAAATTGTGTGCATTGATATTGTATAATAATTTTAAACTACAGACGGTGCTATTGGTTTTCGAGTTCACTTGTTCAGTTTATTAATGTTTGATAATTAATTTTTTTTAAAAAAAAACTTGTCTTCATAAAAAGATAAATTATATGAAAATTATAATAATTAAATTAATGAAATGAATGAAAATTCGATAAATTTATTGAAATCAAAATGTTATAAAATACTATCTGAAATAAGAAAAATGAATAAAAACAAATAAATCATCATGAAACTTTTATAAATATTTTATAAGTGTCGGTTACAAAAACATCTTTATGTGAAATAGCTAATGCACAATTTTTTATCGGTGGTCAAAGTTTTAAAAAACGTTTGTGTGAAAATAATCACTTAACAAATAAATATAGGAATAAATGTAAATCTGGGGAGATATTTTGCAACTCAAAATGTCTCAAACTGTTCCAATAAATAACTATATTTAATTTTTTAAATTTTTTATTATAAAATAATAACTTAATACATAATTTAGATACTTAATAATTTTTTTTTAAATTAACCTTATAGCACACTGGATAATGTACACATTATACTATTCATATGAATAAGGTGTACATTACCCGGGTAATGTGTAAACTACCCATTTTTGAAATTTATCCGTAACGTATAAATGGAACAACCTATATTTTCTTTAACTTCAATATCTTTTTTTCTACCCAAGGCCGTATCTGGAGGGGTCCGGGGTATCTGGACCCACGCCAAAATTTCTTCAATATTTATACAAATACTAAAAATACTTATATATTTTTAATAATACCATAAATATTTTCAGTCAAAAATGACTTAAGCTCCAATTAATCATTGGCTGATTTTAATTTTATATCATAATATCATATGCAAATATGATATTAATTTTAATAAAAAAAGATTAAATCTTTTTCTGTCTTATTTTTAATCAAATATCAAAAGTTAAAATCTAAATTCAATAAAATTACAATATATTTTGGACCCCTCCCGAAAAAAATTTCTAGATACAGCCTTTACCTACCTATATAGAGTAGTTTATTTGTGTTTATTCTAATTTTATATATTGTACATGGAATAACAATGTATTATAAAATACATACATAAACACATATTGTTGTTCTTTAATATTTATAGCTTATACTAAATTTAATCTATTTAGTTTATTAAATGAATAATAATATGAAAATTTTCTTATTATTTATTAACTATTGAGAATATTTTTTTTTTTTTTATCATTCTATAAATTCATATTCATAATATTTTTAACAATCTACTCATGATATATTTTGCCATGATCTTTGATATCAATATTTTGTACATAAAATTATAATATGATGAAATCAAACTACATTAGTGTATACTGCAATAAAACTAATATTTATTGCATTATAGTTTGGTTACCAGCTTCTATGAGGAATTACAATTATTACAGATTTTTTTTATACACTTGTATTATTAAAAGAAAAATAAAAGAAAATAATTTTATTTAAAACAATTGTGTACCTACTTATTTTATGTATAGCAAAAAAATAAAAATAAACTATCAAGATTTGATTTTGTAATTAAAAATTATAGAAAAATGATATACTCATTAATGTGATATGATTGAAAAGCTTCATATTTTTATTTACTATTATATTTTTTTATTAGGTTTTTTTTTAAATCAGAAAAAAATGTATTATATATTAGTGTTATAACATGAAGTAATAAGATTAATTACATGAGTATAAATACCAATTTGGATAAATAAGTTCAAAAATTACCATTTTACATGTTGGTAGATTGTTATTATTATTAATATCATTATATAATAAATAATATAATATTTTTTAGTATATTTATATTTCTTTGAAACACTGACTAAATAAATCAATAAAATTTTAATTATAAAAATATAATTAATCTCATATAGCTATTTAAAAGCTTACCATTTTAATGGAACATTCTTAAATTCTAACCACATTTCCATTTCTTGTTTTTCAGGATCTACATGCTTCACAAAATGTTTTTTTACCTTGAAGATATAATTTAAGTTAATTATAAATGAATTTATAAAATAAAGACTAATTATGAAATTAAAACTAAAAATAGGTACTTCTTTCGTTATACTAATTATCATCATAATAATATAATATACTTTTTAGATCAGTACTTCTCATCACAAGGTCCCTTTAACAAAATGTTGCAGCCTGCACTAAAAGTAAGTTTATGTTCTAAAATTCAAAATTAAATAAAGTAAGTTAGAATAAAATAAATAAAATACGTATTTTTTGGTTTCAGTGAAACTTTTTAACAAATTATTTTTATTGAATTTAATTATTATTTATTATTATTGTTTTATTTTATCTTCTTCGACACCTATGCTCCACTTGCATATAATACAAAAGATCTCACCAAGGTTTTGACAAGACTGATTTCTCTTTGATAGTAATTTTAATTTGAACAGAGGTATCATGTATAAATAGGACAAACACTTATTTCTTACTATTATTCTACAACTGGTTTTCCCATGACTATTTGCTTTTTCATTCAAATTTACACTTACATATTTAAAGTTAGGTACTCTTTCAAGTGTTATATCTTCGAATAAAATTTAATTTTTATGATACTGTTTCTGTGTTAGAACCAAGTATTTAGTTTTTTTCTCTTGATATTTAGCTCTATCATTTTTCCTTCATCTATTAGTATTTTGCCATGTTTCTTAGTTGATCTTCTGTTTCACCCATTATTTTATCGTCTGCATAGATGTCTAATGTTATATTTTGTTATTTTATTTTTCAATATTAAACCTATGGATTATTTTAGCACTTTTCCTACTACTCATTCCAGGGCAATAAATGAATATGGGAAACAATGCATCCCCTTGTCTCAAATTGGTTTCTACTGTAAAATCCTTTAACATTACTGAGTTAAATTTTATTTTACATTAAGAGTTTTGAATACATGTCTTCACTAATCTCACAAGTTTTGTCGGTAATCAAAGTTCAATAATCATCTGCCAAAGACTACTTTTCTTAATGGTTCATAAACTTGCATGAAGTTCACTAATAATTTGTTTTATGTGAACTCCACTTGGTAATCTCCTATTATCCCATTTACATATGGTTTTACACTATTTAGTTTTACATCTAATAGAATTTTGCATGATATATTGAAAAGTGAGATTTTACTATAATTCTATTAGTCCGTAGCATCTCTTTTTTTATATATTAGACACAATAGTGAAATGTTCCATGCTGATAGTATTGTCTCCATATTTTATTAGACAATTGTTTTTATTTAATAATTAAGAGTTTTCTCCTTTTTTTACAATTTTCTGGCCATTTAATCTTCCCTCGATACATTGTCATTCTCAAACATATTTATCGCAAATTCAACTTCTTCCTCTGTAGGTTTTTCTAGGTGTTGTTCAACAGTAATAACTTTTTGGTACTACTCATTTTGGGTTGATCGTTTAAGTATTAATTTTAATAAACTATGTAGTTTTAAGGCTACATAAATTGAATACATCCCATTTATTTTATAATCAAAATATGTAAAATTCATGAAAAAAAAAAAATTAAGTGTTAAAAGTAAATCTTCAACAACCCAAATGGAATATTAAAAATTTCTTTTAAAATTATTTACTGTAACTATCATTAGATTGATTGGTATGATAGGCATAGAATATAATTCAATAACTGTAACATATGTCACATATAAAATAAGCAAATCATAGTATCAAATGTCAAATGGAATTTCTGATTAGATTCAGATGATTAGATAGCACTTTCAGTTACATTAAATGTATAATATATATAATACATTAAAATCAAAAATAACAAATTTCAAAATCTTACTTTATCACAGACCAATGGAAAATAACTCATTCTAGGTACCATCAAATAAAACGGCTCGGGATTTTGAATACCATGGATTTCTTGTTCGTCTAATTGAAAGCATACTGCTAATTTTCCATTCCACAGATAGCTAAGAATTTCTGTGTCGTTTGCCATCGAGAACAATAATATAAACAAACCATCCAATTGAAACGTAATCGATTTCACGAAACTACACCGTTGTACGTTTCCAATATTTCCCTATCCGGGAACAAGTGACATTTTGTCATCATTCAACAAATCCATGTATTACGTTATCAAAGCGTTATCTCAGAACAAACAATACAAATTTCAAATAACCACGGCTGAAGAACGTTATCACAGAATTCTGTGCTATTCGTAGATCTATATACACCTATATTATATAATATCATAGAAATATATTATATTCTATGACAATATTTTATAATATAGACAGAGTCATTCAGAGGCGAGGGAGGCAACGGGATCATTTTGCCCTATTGTTGTAATATTTTTTAGGGAGTCCCCATAATTTCTTGGTCTAAAATAATTAATAATAAAGCCTCGATCACACTGAGTAATATTACACCCTGCGTGTCGGCGATTAAATTCGCGCGCGTGTGAGTGTGTAGCGACTTGTCCGATTACATTAAACGATTAAATTATAAATAATATGATTAATATTCAATTCTATTATATAAATATGTAATACTGTACGTTAATTTAAATGAACTTGATTGCTTAAGGTTTAGAAAAATACGTTTGCAAGAATTTTATTATTCTCAGTGAATACTTTGTTTATCATATCTTATTATTATGGTCGAAAAGCCCCCAAATAAATTTTCCCCTGGGCTCAAAAAAAATTGGGACGACCCTGAATATAGATATCTATGGTGCTATTATAAACACGATCTCTCTTTAAGATAGTTATAGCACAGAACAATATTGTTATTGATATATCTTAAATCATCGATAAAATCATAGTATTATTTGTACATGTTTTATTCAACAGTTATATACCCATCCGTATTTTTTAACAGTAGGGAAGATGCAGGTATTGCTGCCCTTGGTAAATACCGCCAACCTTATTTCGATACCTGATAAAGAATTAAGTGGATATCGATACTAGCTTAATCTTTACGAATGGATCTTCGCAGGAAAAATTGTGTCCGTAGATAATATAGCCTACATTTAACCCCTTTTTCAGAGCTATCAAAATGTGATAACATTAATAAAACGATAACACCATTTTTATTATAATTTTATATTTTGCTAAATTTAAATTTAAATCGTTAAATACATTAATAGTAAAATAAATTTAACAATACACAATTCAACAAAAAAAAAAAAAAACAATATTCACTTACGATCGTCATTTATAATGTACAGTTTAAAAGTAATAAAAAATATAACATTTTTATTACTTTCATATTTCTCCATACCTCAAGTTCAAAGTACCGAATTTTAATCTTTATTAAACGAGGACAATGAATTAATTGTAAAATACAGCAATACTCAATTATGGCACCAAAATGAAATTGGTGAATTAAGGTTTACTACGGCTGATAGAGCAGAATTGGTAGGTAGCTTATTTTATTTTATATAATATTATATTATACTACCATCTATAATGGTTACGAGCGTCTAGAGACAGCGCCTCTTATCTGCACTATTATTATCAGTATTACACTATCACTACAGTTGCCTTATCACATAATCGGTTGATTACATTTAAATAATATATTTTTAAAAATAATGAAAACAATAACAAAACCCAGTATCTACATGAACATAGGCGGTACTAGACCCTCTTGGCAGGGGGGGCAGGAAATACTTTGAGAAAAATATTAACAATGTTTTATCTAAATCTTTAGACTAGCAATACTATAAAAAAAGTATTTCTTTGATAACTATTTTAACTTATTTGAAATAAGATTATTTTGTAAAATGAATAATACACTTACAAATACCTACATTTATATTATTTTAATTAAAATTTAAAATAAAAACTTACCACAATTTACCTGTGATGGTTCTCATAGGCGGACCCAGAGTGATACATTTGAGTGTGCCCTGTAATTTTTTGGTTGTTTTTTCAAAATATAAAGGGGAGGCTATAAATACGTACATGTAGACCGTGTTATAATTTAAATTCTAAAAGTATAGGCTTCGTTAATGATGTAAAATAATGATTAATAAAATATACACGTAATTATTATTTCAGACTTCTTCTGAACATTTGTAATATTATTTAGAAAAAACTAAAATTTATAATTAATGTGTATGCACTTATATTCTCAATTGTAATTATTAGATTTTTTTATTCACATTATTCACATTAGGGTGTACCAAGGCACACCTGTCACACCTCGTAGAGCTGCCTATGATGGTTCTTGTATAAAAAAGTCGTATAAAGTTTAAATTTTTTTCTTTTGTTTGTGTTCATAATTTTTGTTATAAATAATATTATCCAAAAAAAATCAAGTCAAATCAAAGTATAAAATCATATAAAACGTTTGTGATACAGATAATAATAAAGTAATAATATTGGTTCATGATTTCTCAATGACAAAAATAAAGTATAATAATATTGAAAATGTTGACGCAAAAAATTTAATCAGCATATTTACATGAATGGCTTCAACGGTTGTAGATAATAATATTATTACTTACAACCATGCAGACTCTAAATAAGTATGTAATATGAGGGGTTACCAACCAATATTTGAAATGTATAGGGTGAGTAAGAACTCGCAGGGGGGACAGCCACCTACTTTGCCCCTCCCGTAATACTGCCTATGTACATGAAGTGTAAATACTGTGTTTTGAATTTGTAATGAACTCAGCTGAAAATATATTTCAAGCATAGTGAAATTAAAATTCGAAACACAGTTACTATTACCACCGATTTTTTTTTAATATTGGACAGATTTTAATGAAGAGCCAAAGGGTTTAGACTTCTTACAAAAAAAACTTGAAAGATTACAACATATGCCCCTAAAAAAATTACTCAACATAGAGAAATTAATCTCAATAAAAAAAAAAAGAATTATTGATAAACTCGTTCCAGTTATGGTAGAAAATAGAAATTTCTTACTAATTGAGTATTTAAATAGAAATTCAATACTATTTAAAGTAAATTAGTGGGAAATAAGCATTTTTTAACTTGTTATTGTTTTGGAACTGTCATACGAGATTGTGAAAATACTCCATTCATGAAACATCTTAAACATTTGCTAGTTCAGTTAGGAGTGTATTTAGACTTTATTCTAGGAGTTATAGAGTGACTCGATTTTTCACTATGCCACTTCTTGGCGAATGATAAAATAGGATTAATGATTTTTCAGAATGTTTGCATACAAAATATATATCTAGAGGGAGAAAATTGCTCCATCAACCCTCTCAAATACACCCTTAAATGGCCTTCATTTTTATTTAACAAATATTATTTACACTTACTATGTTTAAAATTAAATGTGATAGGATTTTATAATTTCTTAAATAAATTTCAAAACACAGTATCTACAATTACAGCTGAATGAAAGCTAAAAAAACCATTTTGTCGATTTAATTTGAATTTTACGCATTTCCTTGATAACACTATGTAGTTTCAAGTGATAAGTTTGAAGTTAAGATGGCGGCCAGAAGTACATTACAAAAATCATTTTCATATGGAATTATGAAAAATACACATACTGTGTTTTGACGATGTACAGCTGATACATACATATTTAATGAAACTCTTAGTTAGATGATTAAATAATTTTTTTAATTTAATTTGGTTATTATCTTTGGTCTTATTTTTTAAATTATGATTTTTACTAAAATGGAAGATACTAGATATTTCAACAGTTTGAAACATATCCTAGATAATTTAAATATAGTGAATAATATTTCTCTTCAAGGAGAAACTAATAATTTTGATATTCATTAATTTTGTAAATATTAAAATATTTTTCACAGGTTGGTATTGATATTAAAAAAAATGTATCCTTTCTGCAATTTTATTGAAAACTTTGAAAAGTCACAGTCAATCTTGGTGACTATACTGAAAGAAAAAATAAAAGATTCTGGTTCAAAAAATCAATTAGAATAAATGTTGAAAACTCCACACCTAACTGAGAGTAAATAATGCAATGTTAAAATATTTACCTATAACAATGTATTATTTAATAAATAAAACATAATTTTTGATATTCACAAATTAATGAGATTTATATATATTTTTATTTATTAATTTCAAAATTAGCAAGTAAAATATTTCAATAAAAATAAAGGCTTAGCCTACTATTGATTTTTAAAAACGACCAGTTTATATTTTAAAAATCATCATCCGGTATTTACAAAGTAAATTATTAATATACTAATTAGATATAATACATCAACACCTCAAGATTATATTTTACTTTAATGCTAGTAAATTACTTCTTACCCAATGATGATTTTCAAAATCGAACAGGTCATTAAAACACATTAAATATATTTCAAACTATTTTTTAATATTATGTTTATTATTAGAGTGTTTTTTATTTAAATTGAATAATATTTATGTATTCTTTATTTTTATTAATATATTTTAATTACAATTTTTGTTTGATTTTAGATTGTAAAAATGCTGTTATTTTCTTCCTTCTTCATTCCGTTTTTATTCCAACTGCTAAAAAAACAACCAGAGATGAAAGTGGCAAAATTAGTTTAAAAAAATTTTCTATTCGAGAATCTCAAAACAGTTTTGTCATAACTGAAAAAACAAGTGCAGGATTGGAGGAAATTTTGTCAAAGAACACCACACAAATTCAACCATGTCTATTAGTAGTTGGAGAAATTAATAATCCTAAACAAATCGTGGTTTATTTTGATAGCATTAATTTTGTAATTAATATTATAATAAAAGCAATTGAAATCTGTTTTTCAATTTTTCATGTATTTAACATTGAGTATCCAATAGAATCTGGAAACTTTTGGTTATTTATCCAACAATATTATTTTAAATTTAAAACTTCATACGATAAACCATGTATACAAGTGAATTAAACAATTTCACAACTCAAGGTGATTGAAAAAAATAAAAAATATTAAGTTGTTGAATGCAAATAATAAAGATTTGTAAAAATGTGCATTGTTTTAATAATTTACTCCTCAGAAACTCTATATGATAATGCACTAATGTATAAGGATAATGATTTTAAAACATAGAATACATTATTGATTTTATTTATTGACATTTATAATATAAAAAATTTACTTTAATTTTAATAAATAAAATTCATATTTAAATTAAATTAAATGTACTAATTTAATAAATATAATTTTATTTTAAAAATTGGTTTGGTTAATTTAATAAATATAACTATGGAATCAATTAATATATGGTAAATTTAATGAATTATGTAGGTAAGATTCTTTCCAGATGTATAAAATACAATTGATAAAATTATAATATTTTTTTTTAATTCAATAATTTTATTTATCGACTGAGAGTTTAATAAAATAAAATTTGTATTATTAAAAATTGTGCTAATTGACCGTATTTTAATAATTTTATTATTGATTCAACTCATAGTTTTGTTGATTTTACCTAGTGTTTTGGTACAGTGTATAATCTAAAAATGTTTATTTCTAGCCTCTGTTGCTTCTTCTGATAATTGCCCAATTGGCAGTAAGGCTTTTTTTATTATTATAGGTCCATGTAATTATATTTTATGTAGTGTCGGAGTCATAGGATGCTAAGGGCATAATTGAACATAAAGCTTTGCTGTGTCCATGGTATAGTTTCTAAATTTTCGAGTATCAATTTTATACCCATTAGATATCGTTTGTAAAATAATATTTAATCTGTAAATTAAGTCTGCACTTATTCTCGTAATTTCTGCAGCAAGTTCTACGTTATTAAAAAATCTTCGGCTGATATTACGATAATTAGTGTTTCCAAATCCAGCTTTTGGTACATCTACAATGAATCCCAACTTGTTTTTAAACTCTTCTTGAATTTCAATTTTTCGTTTTTTTAATAAATCTTTATCTTCTTGAGATCTTATTTGCCATTTTTTTTACTGGTAGTTTGTAAGCCAAATGAAGTATACTTTCAAAAAAAGCGTATCGGTGCATGTAAAATTGATAAGCCAAATTATAGCGCATCTTCATTCATCTCTGCACTTTATTTTGATTTTGTCAAATCTTTAAAATATTTTGTAGTAGCTCCGCATATATAACATCTCATAGTTGATTTTGTATTGTTTATTGCGTTACAAACTTTACCGTCAACCATAGTAAGTGTCAGTGTATGTTTCACTTCGATGTGCTTATTAATTTCCAATACCGTGTTATTTAGAGAGTTAATTTTAGTTTTAATATATTTAAACTCACTGTTTATAATATCCGTAGATTCCTTAACAAAATGAGTTCTGATCGGTCGGCCGTATCAAGGCGAAAAAAATGTAGGGTTTTGCCAAATAATTTGTTTTGTGTCTGTACTGCAAAATAATCGTAATGGTACTATCAAGGTTTGGAATATATTAGAATCTGCGTCTGTACTATTATCGAACTTTTGCTTAAATTATGTTTGTTGTGATCCATCACATCCCCACTTTAATATTAACTCTAATGAGTTACATTCATTTGCACTCAATGTATTTAATACGTCTTTGAGATAGTCTACTAACCGTGTGACAGTATGATCTAATAAATTCTGGAGGTTTATTTCAGCTAAAGTATTTGTCACTGTGTAGGATTCAGGTGAAGGATAGCAGCATTTTTTGTATTTTTATAATAAACTATAACATGGGAATACATGTTTAGCACTTGAAGCATTTATTTAGTACTGTTTCAGAGATAGACCGGCTTCTACAAAAATTGATAAAGCTTGAGTAATATGCATTTTTTCTTTTTTTTATTACAAGCTTTCTGTGTACGCTTTTCTGTACTTAAGTGCTCTTCCAGAAGATTTTGTAATTTAATTCAGAACTTTTGAAGCAGCAATCATGCCTGATTTTTTTAATTTTATTTGTGTAGAGAAATGTAATTCATCAATGTCTACGTTTTCACGAATATTTTGAGTCTTTCTTTGTTTACTTTCTTCTTTTACTTCGTTCACTCAACTTATTAAACGGTTTTGTTGGTCGTCCTGGTCTGGAAATTACAACTGGTATTTCAAAACACCCCTGGAGCCAATTTTTATTTTGCGATAGGAATATCTTATCTCTTCGATAGGCACATGACCATCGATTTTAATATTCAGATTTAAAGTACGCTAACTGTTTTTTTTAGTTTTACTTTTTGATTTTCTGAAAAATTTTTTCAGTAAATAATCATCAAGACACTTTAATTTTTCATGGAAATCTCCTTTAAAACTTTTCATAATATTATATAAATTACTTCTAGTGACAACATTCACACCTGATGATCCTAAATTTAAGAATAAAAATGTATATAATTCATGGAAGATAAAGATGTGGACAAAAATGTCACTATGGTCTATTAACTTGTCCTTATATTAGAATTATTCCCTAAGAAACAATCGCAATTAATCGTAGCTACATTTTTTTAATTAAGATACTTTAAGTTGTTCTCTATTTAATACAGTAAAAATGATACTTGAATATACTCGATAGTGCAAAAACGCTTAACTGTAAATTTTACAAAAAAAAAGTTGACAAATTTTTAAACTATCAATTAAATCAAATTAATCTTCGATAAAATTTAATTCTTATATATATGTATTATAAATTAAATGTATATTATAAAAGTACGTACCAGCAGTAGATCCATCCATGATAAAAAATTTAAAAAGCACAAAAATCGGTCAAATACTAATAAGTTTAATATTGATAATATATTAACGTAATCGTTCAATTTAATAATCGGGTATACTGCGGGACCGTTTATTATAACTAAGCTTAGGGACTTATAGCTCTAAAAAATATACAAATATGCATGCAAATATGCTTCTAAAATCATTAAAATATGCATTATAATATGCATTTATATGTATTAAAAAAAAAAAAAAAATTACCACATAGTACACAAAATAAAATGTGTCCATCGGATGTTAGTATGTAATTAGAATTAGATAGAATGTATATTTAAACTCCGAAACAAAACTTTGTAGTTAGCTACTCGTAGACTGTTGTACTTTCGGCATTACACAATTTTATAAAATATACCCGTACGTTTTACGTATGATTCGACGTTGCGCGGTTAACAAAAACAACGACGGATAATGAACTAAATAAATAATCTATAATTCTATATCGACTATTATCTTTATCGACATTCGGTTGATATCCAGCGGGTTATATAATCGATACAGGTTTATAGTATTATTTATACTTACACAAAAATTATAACCAGATATGAGAGGTAAATTGCAGATAGCATATTCCTCTTAGTACATTTTTTTCGATCGTTTGAAATATATATATAATTATATGTATCTATAATTTTTAATTTTAAATTTGAAAAATTTGTCAAAATATGCAAAAATATGCATATTCAAATTTTAGGTCCGATATCATGGCACTGAGAAACGAATTTATTAGGTACTCTGCTATATTTAACAATAGTTAAAAAAAGTATGCAAATGCTAGAAGTCCCTAAGCCTAATTATAACTTTTTAATACCAATAGAAATGTGAGATCAATAAATAAAATATGAAGCATAGTTTCATAACAAGTCAATCACCTGTCTTATCGATTGCGATTAAATGAAGTTTCCAAAATCTATATTTATCCGGATTTTTATTGTAAATACTTCACTGTGCGGCGGCTAGATTTTCATTATAGGTAGTGCAATGTTTGAATGCTGTTTTATTTATTAGTTTTTACAATCTTTTTGGACATGACATTAGTTCCATTTTTATACGTTTCATCATCTATTCCATGGTTTTACCAAAAAACTGTATTATTTAATAATTTGAAGAAATCTTTTTCGAAGTCGTTTACGGCTCTTTTCCTCATTTCAATGTTCAAATTTATGTATTTTGCAAGCCATGCCGATTGTCGAAACTCTATGTACTTTTTTCACGATTAACTCATTTGATATTGCCTTTTGTAAATTTCTTTAGTGTATGATACGAGTATTCTTATTTTTTTTTCGAGTGTAGCCATCAGTTTTTAACTTATGAACTAGGAGGAATTTTGTTCTCGGGTAAAAATGGAAGGTTGTTGTGTTCATCGTGTAAATCTTGAGAATACGATATATCCACTTCATACACTCTACCTATATCTGAGGTATCTGTCAATGTTTCCAAACCAACTAGGATAGGCTCTATCCACTTGAACCCGCCGCGCCGTATAGCATGTATTGTGACATTGCCCATCCATATAAATTATTACAATCTTGATAGACTAACCATGATTTCAGTTTCATCTCGTCATAATCCGAAGTATTTTCATTATTAACTTTGGCGTGCCTCATACTGGCTTGTGTGAGACCACCGCAGATTTTTCGAAAAATAGGTGGGTTTCATAATCAAAGAAAAATTCTAGTTTGACTTTGGGATATTTTAACATACAGTCAAAGCTGAAACCTGGAGCTGTATAGTAGTAAACATGATCTAAATTGCATGTAGAAATGCACATGTCTCTAAATTTTCAAATACGTCAGCCAACAGCACGTCAATTTTAAGATAAAGGACTGAATATTCTCCTAAGGATTTGCATTTGAAATGGTTCCATATTGAAACTGCGTGTTCGTATTCCTCATATTCTATATGCTCCTCTATCAATGTCGAGTAAAAATTTTCTTTTTATGGTAATGTTCTTCTAATTTTTCCCAACTGTCTGTATATTCGTAAGGGTATACACCCGTACGTGTAATGAAATCCATATCTCTGCAGAGACTCATGAGTACGAATGATTTTGCGGTTTTTCTGAACTTTTCGAACCCTGGTGTTATTAAATTTTTTGCAAGTGTTGATAGTTTTGAAGGCATGAAACGGCATGAGTCTACAAACCGTGTTGTGAAGTTGTTGGAAACGTATTTAGAAAATTAAATAAACTTTTCTTCACTGTTTGAAATGACTGTAGTTAGGTTAG